TCACAAGAATATTAAATCAGCTGAACAGCAGAAACAAGAAAATATACCCTGACACTCCCACCATGTTGTGTCCTAGCTCTAATAATCCAAGGGCACCCAAGAGCAGCACAGCGTCCCCTAAACCTTTTCTTGTCAGAATGAGCAGTACCAAGTTCAAACGCCTTTACTATGGCATGTTACCTCACTGCTAGCCTGAAATCATCCATACTAGGGTAACAAGTCCCCACAGACATGTTAGGATTATCCCTGTCCCATGCAAACATTGGCTCCACTTTTACATTGTCATCCACTGGAACAACAGCTTCACTCATATCTTGTTGCATTTTAGCTGTCATTGTAGGGATAGGTATTGCTTCCCTTGCTGCTTCTTCTGCCCTCTCATCTGCTGCCTTAAATCTCATTGCTTCATATACTTTGTCCTCATCTGCAGCTACAGTAGCATCACCATCATCATTGACATCTGGAAGTATGATCAGATTGACCCAATCCACTGGCTCTGGTATATCAACAGTCACATATGGAGGTGGCAAACTACATGTATCACCTGTGCCCTCTGCATTCTCAGGTACATTAGAACCACTGCCTCCTACATTTTTAGGAATTCCACTACCTTCACCAATAGTGACACCAGATGCACATCTATGCATAGAACTATCATTACCAGAGTATGCATGTTTACTGACAACGTCAACTACAAGAAAAGCAACCCTTTGTCCCCATCTGTCCTTTACCATTTGCTGAAAATGCTCATCCCTTCTCACTTTACATTCAGAACCACTGTCAGTGTCAACTACCTAGACTGAAGTGTTTGTGATGGCCCCCAGGTGATCTTTGTGGCCATCTCATCATGAAATTTTCCTAGAGTATACTGCCCAGTTCTATCCAACCACAACTCATGCTCTTGCTTGACCATTTCTACTAGCCCATACTCCCCATCAGCGACATATTTACCAACCTTAACAACTAATCTAAATGCATTGCCAGGATCAATCCTGACAGAACGAATCAACAACAAAACAACCAATGAGTTAGAACAAATATCCTACACGGAATGGTTCTAAACAAGTCTACCATTTCTAGTGCAGTCAAAGATTGAACTTACCAAATGGGGCACCCCTAGAATCCATTGCAAGGAGTAGTACTACATAGCACAGATGGAGAAAACCGAATCAGATCAACAAACCCTAACCCTAATCCCAAAAACAAAGTGCAATGCAGACCGTGGATAGGGCTCGAAGCAAGCACATACCTTTACTCCATTGCAAAAGTGCTCAGGGGTGACTGGGACATAGCTCGAGGTGGGGGCGGCCGGCGGTTTACATGGCGGCGGCGGCGGCGGTGACGGCCGAGTGTTGCACGGAGCAGAGAAAGATGGGGGAGGGAGGGAGAGTGGAGTAGGCCAGGCCGTGCGGGGAAGGATAAAGATGCCAGGGGTAGGGGAGGTCTTTTTACCTAAGCCTGATGACTCGGATCCGAGCTGGACAGCGGAGTTGGCGTGCTACGTGAGTAAAAGTGGTAAATGTGTATCGTTTTTGCTCTCTCTGTTGCTATAAGCGTAGCGTCAAACCTAAAGCTGCTACTTGAGGAGGTGACATCTATTATGATGGTAAAAAGTTAAATATCCCGCAGCATTAACGTGTCACAAAATTACCAGTTAACAGAGGTAGTATCATAAAAACCTGAGCCAACAGCCAAGCGATCCATTACAGGAATATTGGATTATCCCCGGATTACCCTAGCTCTAAATATCAGCAATGGAAACCAGATTATCCCCGGATTACCCTAGCACTAAATATCAGCAATGGAAACAAAGCTGGCTCGTCGGTGCCCACAGGGTGCTCGTCAGAATGCCAGAGGCATTAATCACTAAAAACACAGCAAAAGGATATGAGAATAAGCCTCACCTGTGGGATGAGCCTACCGGTGCCGCAGCCCAGTGGAAAGGTTGGTTGGGGCCGGCGGTGGCCTAAGTGAACTGCTGCCGGCGCTGTGTGGAGTGGCGCGGGATACACCGAGGGCTCGGCTGTTGGCTCCAGAACGGCTGGCTGCACGACACGATGCACGGGCGGCGGGGTAAAATTTATCAGCTCCGACATGCGGCGGCAGCGCGCACACTTGAGTGATACATTCACCCGAGCGACCGTTGGTGTGGTCGAGTAGTAGAACCCCCGAAAGCCGGAGCCGCCGACCTAACGGCGAGCGAGACGGCGCACCCGCGCGAATTTTCGGTCGCCTTTGAGGAGCTCACGCCGTCAGAACACTGAAATGCTGCGGCCGGGCCTTCGTACGTGTTGGTAGCAAGTCCATGACCTCACCAAACCTTGGGCCTCAAGGCCTGCTAGACAACCCCCAGCGGTCAGCCCATATAGCAATCTCAGATTCAGGCCTCTAAAATTAAACATCTGGGATTCATATCTAGGACTAGGTAAATGCTCGTGCGTTACAACAGGAATACATAATACCACGATAACATATGTATGAGCGTATATTATACTATTATCTAAAATAAATACCGCAATCATAATGTTCCAATCAATTTTACATAAGTCTTCATGAAAGATAGATAGTTAAAATATAACTCTAAATTTGAATGCAAAATTAAAACATCAACATCAATTGTCGCATCACTTCATGCCTACGATACGCGAAAGATAAGCTTGCACTTCTTTAGGAATCAAGTGCTACGGAAAGATAATCATAACAAGTTTGTGTTTCACAATACATGTTTTACAATCTATAGTATATTGCCCGTGCTAACGCCACGGTGGCATTTTAGGTGACACAAATTAACAACCAAACGCGGTATAAAATAAAATAGATTGAAGATTCACAAAAAAAAGGAGCGATACAAATTTACATGGTTATTGTATTATTTAATCCAAAAAGGATCAAACTTATATTGTTGAATACAACAAGGATAATTCATGCGAATTTGTTCATCTGTCAGGTTATCAATTTTAGGCCCCATGACGACAAAACCCTTCTTCACTAACGGGTGTCTACGGTGTACCATAAATCTCATGCGAAATATTTACACACCTAATTTTTGGTTTTAATCAATGGCTTGTGGCTTCCGCTCCTTCTCATGTCAACACCAAGTCCTTCAACTCGAACATCTGCAAGTACACCAGAACGTGAAAAAATTCATCAAATGGTAAGCCTCGATGAGCAATGAACCTGAGCATCATGAAAGCATCCGTTGGTGATTGAAGAGCTTAGCTGTACCCGCTAGTGTCGGCCTGAACAAGCTCCTGCACCAGTTGCATCACCTTCATCCCAGTTGCATCACCTTCATCCCACTTGTCTCAAGATTCTAATGTGTCATATGAATCAATCAAGCCAAAGCTGTAATCATAGGAGCTAATCTGGTCCTAGGATAATCACTATCATTACGGCAAGAATCAAGAAAACCAAGCGTGATCTTTTCATCGTCCACAGCTCCCTAAGCTCCAAGTGCGCGGAAAAAAATTATCTACAGTCATGCTGTACCGCGGCACCTGTGAAGCACCGAGCGCAGGCCATCCATGTATCCTTGTGCGCGAATCTCAATGCATATGAGTCTGAACCAGCAAGCTGCGTGTTCCTTCCACGTGGAGCCACAGTGAGTAACCGTCTCTGTTCCTTCATGGGTACAGGATGGTCACGGGCCAATTCAGGAGGTTCACATACCGGGAGCTCAAGGACGCGACGGGGAACATCAAGGAAGAGCTCGGTCGGGGCGGCTCCAGCGTCGTGTACCGCGGCGTGCTCGACAAAGGGAAGGTGGTGGCCGTGAAGAAGCTGACGAACGTGGCGGGGGGCAACGAGGAATTCTAGGCGGAAATGACGTTGATCGGACGGATCAACCACATCAACCTCGTCAGGATCTGGGGCTTCTGCTCCCAGGGCAAGCATAAGCTGCTGGTGTAGGAGTACGTGGAGAACGAGTCGCTGGACAGGCACCTGTTCGGCACGGACAAGACGCTACCGTGGCGCGACCGGTACAGGATCGCGCTGGGCATGGCCAGGGGCCTAGCCTACCTTCACCACGAGTGCCTCGAGTGGGTCATCCACTGCGACGTGAAGCCGGAGAACATCCTGCTGACGCGTGAGTTCGACGCCAAGATCGCTGACTTCGGGCTGGCCAAGCTCTTCAAGAGGGACGGCGCCGCCGGCGACAGCATGCAGCTCTCTCACATGAGAGGGACGACGGGGTACATGGCGCCGGAGTGGGCGCTCAACGTTCCCATCAACGCCAAGGTAGACGTGTACAGCTACGGCATTGTGCTGCTGGAGATGGTTATGGGGTGCAGGGTGTGTGACCAGACCACGGCGGGCGGGGAACGCCTGGAGATGTCGCAGATCGCTCAGGCCTTGAGGCAGGTGGTGGCTACCGGCAACGTCGTGCCCTTGGTGGATGGTAGGTTGCAGGGGCAGTTTAATCCTCGGCAGGCGTTGGAAATGGTGCGGATTTCCTTATCGTGTATGGAGGACAGGAGCAACCGTGCAACAATGGACGACGTAGCCAAGGCTCTCATAGCCTGTGACGACGAGGACGAGCATCCAGCATACAGGTAGAGTCATACCGTTAGGATCAGGAGATAGAAACTTTTTTGTTTTTTTGTCTCAAAGGATAGAATTGGAGGGTTAGTATCCTGTCAAATTTTATACAAATTATAGAATTGGAGGGTTAATATCCTGCGATGACGAGGACGAGCATCCCGCATACAGGTAGATTTATACACTCATACTGTTAGGATCAGAAGTGTCAACACTACTACTGTGGGGCAATAAGCATCGCAGAAGAAGCAACATGGGAGGTGGCTGCGGGACAAGCCTAAGAACGCGCGTCTAGGCCCGTTCGCGAACATAGGCCCAATGCATTGGACACTGGCCCAGAGTGTAGTACTTAAGGAAGGGAAGAGAGAGTGAGCTTGATGCTTATGAAAATTGTAAACGAATTCTCGAAACAACTTAATTAATCCCAATCTTCTTTTTTCCCAAGTTTGTTGCTAACAATCTCATATCAGACTTCTCAATCTTCCCACCTTTCTTCGCACTTTGTCTCTCACCCTGGACCTGCTGCCGTTGTCGTCCACGACCACTACACCCGCCGGCAATGGAAGCTCGATGCTATGGATCCTAGTTTGAAGTTTCTCCTCGACAATTTCAACCGTCGCTTCGACGATCACGACACCAAGTGGGAGCAACGCTTCGCTGATCTGAATTGTGATTGCAGTGCCCATGATGTCATTGTTGATTGCCACTTCGCCGAGCTCGCCCAACCCTCTGTAGTCATCAACCAGCGCCTCACTAATTTGGAATCGGTGTGGGTGAACCAAGAAGTAGACGTCACCATGCGCCTCTACGACCTCGAAGTTGTTCACATCCAATAGATCTCCGACGAGCGTGATGAGTGGGTAGCGGAGCTCGAAGTGGTGGCTGCGGACATCAATGCTTGGAGTCCCGAGTTGGAGGGCGTCGTCAATGACCTCAAGCTCAAAGTCCAGAAGATTGCGAAGCATTGGGACCACATGGTGCTCTACACATTGTCTCAATGTTAGGGGAATTAATTCGGATAAGAAGTGGAACTTGATCCGTGATCACATTTTGGAAAGTAACTGTAAAATTGCTTGCTTTCAGGAAACAAAGCGCTTGCTTTTTTATTTATCTTTCATTCATCACTTTTGTCCTCCTTTTGACAGTTTCGAATTTCTTCCTTCTGTGGATGCATCTGGCAATTCTCTCATAATCTGAAAAAGCTCTTCCTTTAATGACAATCTTGTTTTCTAGAATAATTATGTACTACTATTGTGTTCACTCTCTTTTTAATAATGCGACCCGGCTCCTCACCAAGATCTACGCTCCTTGCACACCTGTGGATAAAAGGAAGTTTATTTGGTGGTTTCGGAATGTTCAAATGCCTGGTTTGGTAGACTAGCTTGTCGTTGGTGACTTCAATCTATATAGGACATCCTGATGATACAAACAGACCTGGTGCTAACCATGCAGAGATGTTTATGTTTAATGAATCCATTAGCAAGCTTGGTTTAGTTGAGTTGCCTTTGAGAGGAAAGAGGTTCATCTGGACCAACAAGTAGCATCCCCCTTTACTTGAGCACTTGGATTGGTTTTTCACTTGGACTACCTGAACTTTGGCCTATCCTAACACTGTCTCTTTCTATGGAGACTTCAGATCACATTCCTTGTTTGATTAACATTTCAATTAATATTCCTCGGTTTCATATTTAGATTTGAGATTTTTTGGTTAATGCATGAGGACTTCTTAAACCAAGTTGAGCAGGGTTGGTTTTCCCCTTTCCAGCATTCGGACACAACTAAATTTCTTACTGCTAAATTTAAGAATTTATGGAAAATTTTGACGGAATGGAAAAAGAGCCTGTCAAGTCTCAAAGAAAACATTACAAATGTCAAGATGGTCTTAGTTTTCTGAACTTTTTGGAAGAATGCAGGGACTGATCTCTTATTGAGTGGAATTTCAAAGCATTACTTGAAGATAAATTGATTTTGCTCCTCAAACAACATAAGGCTTACTAGAAACAGAGAGGTATAGTCAAATGGGTCACTCTAGGTGATGCTAGTACAAAGTTTTTTCATGCCCATGCCATAGCAAGGTACATAAGAAATCTTATTACACAATTATATGGTGAATCTGGTCAAGTTTTTTATCAGCATTAGGAAAAGGCACATGATTTGGCAGGCTTTTAAAGACAGACTTGGCACAAGTAGCTTCACTGGTGTCTCCTTTGATCTGGCTTCCTTGCTTTCAAATGCATTAGACTTAACCTTTTTGGCTGACACTTTTAGCAGGATGGAGATTGACTCAGTGGTTAAAGTTTTACCCTCAGACAAGTCTCCAAGACCTGATGGGTTTAACACAGATTTTATTAAAAGTGTTGGTCCATAATATGTGAAGATTTCTATACTCTCTGCTCTGCTTTTTACTTTGGGGACATCTGTTTCCAAAATATTAATGACTCCTACATGACTCTAGTCACTAAGAAAGATGATGCTTCAAAGGTTGCAGACTATAGACTCATTTCCTTACTTCATTGCTCTATTAAGATCATCACAAAGATTTTGGCTAATAGACTGCAATTTGTCCTGCCTTCTTTGATTCATTCATCAAAACCAATATGGTTTCATCAAAATAGAACCATTGAAGAATGTATTGTTTGGGCTCTAGAGTATGTTCATATGTGTCATCCATCTTGGAAAGAGATTATTATTTTCAAGCTTGACTTTGAAAAGGCTATTGATAAGGTAGAGCATGAGTATATGCTTAAAGTCTTGAAAGCCAATGGCTTTCCCTAGAAATGACTCCAATGGATGAGGCTAATCTTTGCTTCAGAAACCTCGGCAGTTCTAGGGGAGTTAGACAGGGGGACCCCCTCTCACCACACCTGTTTGTGCTAGCAGCAGATTTTCTATAGAATACTGTTAAATCATCAAAGAGTAATGGCCTTCTCACCTACTGTGGGGGGTATAACCCTAGGTACCCACGACAATGGACATGGGCCGCACCACCAGGGGTGGTCCAGCCCATAAGATCAAGGCCTACGGTGCTCGGCTCTGATCAGCGTGCACCGTAAGGTAATCAGAAGACATCTTGGCGATGAAGGAAGATCTGTTCGGGTATGATAGATATCGTATTCCTTGTAAATACTTACCATATAGCCGAATAGATCTAGACCTAAACTGACCTATAACCCTACCCTCCAGACTATATAAGGCGGGTAGGGACCCCCCTCGAAGGCATCTTATATTCAATACAATCCATCAAAGATACATGATGTAGGGTATTACGTCGATCAGACGGCCTGAACCTGTCTAAATCGCTTGTCTCTGCGCTTGTGTCACCATCCGGCTCCTATTACGCGCAACTCCACCGATTCATCTACTACCGTGGGCATACCCCTCGGTAGACTACCGACCATATTTCGTCGACACCCGCCCATTCCCCTGCCTTGTGATCCAGACTTCCCAATTCTGTAATATGCTGATGACACCCTTATTTTCGATGTCGTTCAGTTAAATCATCTGAAGAGCCTTCTGCATTCTTTTGCTGATTCTTCAGGCCTCAGGGTCGACTTTGACAAAACTTTGATGCTGCCCATTAATGTTTCTGAAGATAAACTAGAACTGCTAGCTAATGCCCTCGGTTGCATAAAAGGTTCTCTTCCTTTTACCTATTTGGACCTTCTTTTGAGTACTACCAAACCTTCAGTAGCTGATTTCTGGCCCCTGGTGTCTAAATGTGAAAGAAGGCTGACTACCTTCTCATCTTTTTTTATCTAAGACTAGAAGATTAGAAATGACAAATGCAGTTCTATCTACCCTTTCAACCTTTGCCATGTGTACCTTTTTACTCCCTAAGACGGTGATTAAGTAAATAAATAAATTTTGCAAACACTGCTTATGGAGAAGCTCAGATGTAAACAATAGGAAGCCACCAAAAGCTGGTTGGCTTTTGGTTTGTTTACCCAAAGCTGGAGGTGGGGTTGGGGGCCATCAATCTTAGTATTCGTAACGAATGGCTTCTGCTTAAGAATTTCCATATATTTTACAAGGAAGATGTTCCGTGGGTGCAGCTTGTGTGGAATAAGCACTATTCTAGCAATAGACTACCCATCTCAGAAGGCCGTCAATGGGGTCTTTTTGGTGGTGTGATATTTTAAAACTCCTGAGTCAGTTCAAAGGCATTGTTGTGATTGCAATCAGAGATGGGGCCACATGTCTTCTGTGGCATGATCATTGGGGAGGTAACATTTTGAGTCAGCGTTTCCTAGAACTGTACTCATTTTCCTAGGCTGCGATCTCTATACCTTTACCCTAGAATCTGTTTCATTTGCCTCTAACTACCAAAGCTTACAATTAGTTTTTAGAGCCCGTTTCCTGTTCTACTGAATGTGCCCTCTGATCTTCGGATGATCACGGAAATGTTAGGATTCTCATGGCGGGCATGAGCACCTGAGTCTCGGTTGGTACTCGCAGAGCGCGTTCTGGCCGCACAGCCCGTGCGTGGAGCATGGCTGACCCAGCGCCGCCCATGTCACCGCCCAGCCCCCTGTGGATGCGTTTCATGCTGTAGATTCTCACGTTGCCATCCTAATCCATGGTAAGCCGCCTCTTGACTCCGGGGCCAAAGTCGGAGGCATGGACTCCCTGGTTGTCGCTCGATAGGAACACGCCGTTGTCATCGAGGACACCGATCCTAGAGCTGGTGTATGTTGTCCGGCCGTTCATGAATGGATCGTTGATAGGATCATTTGGCCAGTAGATGCTCGATATGTCAAGGCTGTCGTACAAGAGCCGCAGCACATTGTCATTGTCGTAGTAGAGGCTGAAGTAGCCGACGACTAGCTTCTTGTCCTTGGTGAGCAGCTACGATGGGACCAGTGTGTCCGTCGGCCAATCGAAGCTCTGCCACATGGTGCGGCCACTGGTGGACAGGTCCGAGATGAGGAGGTTGCCGGTGTCGAGGATGGCGCCCCCGCCGCCACTCGTCTTGCTCTTGTTAAGATTTTTCTGATCACATAGTCATAGATCTAGCCGGGTACATCTTGTAAAAGGATAACATGTCCTAGTACATAAACTAGACAAAGATTAGAGGGAGGAGTAGTGTTAGGTTACCGACCGTCGTAGGCCTTTGATCTAGAGGCGGCGGCCATGGGCGTTGTGTTAGTGTCTCCGCGAGGGCAGCGACGGTTGGTGAAGACGGTGATGGTGATGGGCGGTGGCGACCGGTGGCGGCGCAGCTGGTGGCTTCCCGTCACTGGCTGCGCCCCTCTCTGATCGGGTTAGGGTTTGTCGGTGGAGAGCTCGGCTCAAGCGAACCTCATACTTAGAGCCACCGGCCCCACCTCTATTTATTGCATAGTGTGACAGGGGCCCTCCAGCCATAGTGTGCTGGGCGCCCCCGATCAGGGCACGGATCAAAGGCCAAACTGGGTTGTTGGGCCTAGTTTGGGATTAGAGATAAATCTAACAATCTCCCCCTTGATCTCCTACCATCTTTCAATTTCATATCATTTACTTTTGTTCATTCCATTACAGATTAGCGCATAGAGCATGTTTCGTCGTCATGGTCAATTGTCGATACATTTAACAGCTACAACCCACCACTCTGTTCTGAAATAGATACTTAACTTTGGGCCTTCTTTTGTCCAGGAATTATAGGCTTTCCCTTAAACCCATGTCGGCTACATGTTCTCTGAACACGTTGGGTGGTAAGCCTTTTGTAAGTGGATCCGCGAGCATCTTTTCGGTACTTATATGCTCAAGACTTATGACATGATCTCAGACTTTATCTTTCATAACATAATACTTTATGTCAATGTGTTTAGTAGCACCACTTGACTTATTGTTGTGAGCATACTGTACTGCCAGATTATTATCGCAGTACAACTTAAGTGGTCTATAGATGTCGTCAACCACCTTCAAACTAGGTATGAACTTCTTTAGCCAGTTCACCTGCCCCGTTGCCGCATAACACGCTACAAAC